GGAATAGTCTGGAATAGCACATGGATCTTAATGGACAAATACGACGTTATTGCAAGTGAAGCCGCAGGCAAAAACTAGAAAATAATAATACTGAAATTCTAAGTATTGATTTCTATTTATTATGATATATGTGAATGTAAATGATCTCGTAATCATTATGACAAGGAACACATGTTCAATTTTGAAGCACATTTAACACGTTATATAAAACGCGTCGACATGTTTGAATCTTTGTTTTCCTTCAGAAAGAGTGTTTAAATTGACCCCTTTTACAAAAGCTTAAAAATAAACTGTAGGTTTATTTTTATGCTTGTTAAACCTATATGGAGTAACTAGTTTTGTGTTTTTTCAATTTGTACATTAAAGGTATAAAGATGTAGAGTAGGTACTAAATCGAATATTATTAAGACAACCAAACTTAACGATCTATGAATGCAAACATAATTATATGCTATTTTGATATTATGTCCATTTACAAATGATTCCTGCGAAATACTTTCTATTCAAAATGAGCACGGCACATTTATTTTATTAAAGTATGTATACCGAAGATATGCCTATATTATATTTCTACCTATTTATATGTAGGTACCAACTTGTACAGGCGGCATCGTATGTCACTAAGACATTGTAATTTAGAAACTGTAAAACTTTTATGTACCTATTTTATAAAAGCCTTGGTTTGCCGATCTTCACGTTTGTATAAATGTGTTCAAACTTTTCTTAGTATTCAAAACTGCGAGGTGAAGGAGAAGTATCCAGAAGAACTAATACACCAACCCTCCACAGATTTTGGCGATCATTAGTGTTCCTGTCTACTTCGAGAAGAGCAATTACTACCGAGAAGTAGTTGCTCCTCTCGGTTATTTCTAACTAACCAAACTAATCTCGGTTGAATAACAGGATACAAAATAGTACAATAGGTAGGTACCTGTTGAATTGCCTTGCCTATCAAAAAGGATCTCAGTAACATGCTAACTTTTAAACTCTCGCATTTAATACTTTTTTTCAACTTTTAAACTGTCTCATTCCATAATAATTTATAATATGTATTACGAGAATTAACACGATACGTTTTGACCAGGATATACTGGCCCCATCGGAGTGGGAGTTCTCTCGCTCGATAGCCTGATTGCGGCTATCGTGCGGAGCGAGAGTGCGTGGAACTCTGCCGTCTCCTTCTGCGAGCAAGTTATGCTCGCGAAGGAGACGGCGGAGCGGGACCGGGAGAGGTTTAGGACCCTCCCGGCCCGCCAGGCCCTGGAACGGGCCAGGTACCGCAGGCGACTCAGGCGCCGGAGGTTGCAGAACGACCTCCGTCCTCCATAAGCGCAGGCCTGGGGGTGACAGGTGAGGCCATATGTCACCCTAGCAGAAGCAGGCCGGGGTGGCGGCGAGCGCGTTGCGAAGCGCGCTCGCTTCCAGGGAGCAGAGGGAACATGGGGTTCCCACACGGGGGGGGGTCGTCTACCTGTTGTTGTAGATGGCCCGAGGTATGTCGGGGCACCAGGGACTTCCTTTCTAGGGTATACCTGGTTCCCCGGCTATTAGTACCCGAGACGGCGTGCGGTTTTAGTCGGTTCGAGTCCGACATGCCACCGATAGGTGGTATCCGAGGGGATTTCCGCACGAAAAAAAAACAAAACCTTTTTTTTTTTGGCCGTGGTCACAGGCTGATCACGGCCAGTGGTTGCACTGCACTGCACTAGTCGAAACAACAATGGTATTTATACTTGTAACATGATTGCGTTAATTCTTCTGTATGTACTTATATAACTTATATCTAAGTTTTAATGTTTAAAGTATTCAGAGGTATTCCAGTATTTTTATTTTATTTTATATACCTAATATTGATATCGATAACGTATCACGTGGCATGAATAAATCTAAAAAAAAAGCCTTCCTCCTTTTTTAAATTGTTTTACAAATACGATATTCAAATGTATAATGATGTTGGTACATGAACCAGATAAAAAAGAAGGCAGAAAGACTCAATCACGAGGCCAATTACTTTAGTTCAAAAACAGGAGTAGACATCGTTGTAACTACTTCTAGAGACTGCATTCTGTTGATACATACATCCTTATTTCCCTTCAAGAGCTCTTCTTGCGTAATGCTACACACCCCTCACAACGCTATCTCTAACCCTTTTAATCAATGAGTGCACCCTTCTCGCCACCGCCAGATTCACCATCTGCTTAGCTGCCGATACATAAAGATGACGCTCTACCTACATAATAACTAATAAGTTTGTTTTCTATTATTTTAATCTTAAAAGGAAGTAAAGATTTATCGCATTTTTTGATTATCAGGTAAGATACAGAAAGTTAATGTTGAAATTATTAGGCAATCGTAATTCAAGTTTAAGAAAAAATATGTATTGTTAACATAATTAAAATTAAACGCGTTCAGTTATATAAAATCAAGGACTATAGAATAGCATTAAACATGTCATGGTGGTTCCCTCGAACACTGCTCCTTCACTAAGAACCGACGGAAAAATGCTATTGTAAATTATTTCTAGCTATACCTACATAAACTTACATAAAAATAATAATACTAACACGAGATAAGTTTAAATAAACGAAACAGTAAATATTTACAGTTCAGAAATCACAGCTGAAACAATAAACGGGGAAATCTTTAACGTCCAATTCTATATTAAGCTAATAAATAGTTAAATAACCCTTTATTTACATTGCCACTTTTGAACAATCAAAATACCTTAATAACTAATGAATACCGAATTATTTCCAGTAATTAATTTATATTATAGAGGGTAGGTATAGATTTCTATATAGATTAGATTCCACCAATACTTCGAACTGACCTTCAAATGTTTCATAAAGTCACGTAGACCAAAATATGTGAATATAATAATAACATTAACACATAGGCAAGTAATAAGTAACGCTACGTGCTTTAGTCAACACATATAAGTATGTTATCAGCGCGGTCCTACGTCACAAACTATATCTGTTTTGATATCATTCCGCGCAATAAACGTAACTAAACACGTATTAATCGCTACCGTTACAAAAAACAGTTACCGTTCTAACAGATCTGTATAGATGTAAACCGAGATTCTAATGTAGAAATAACATTTTACACCATTTTGGGCGGGACCGAGGCAGAACGCTTAAAACAAATTTTATTTGTGTGCACAATTATACAAAGAGTTTTTGATCCTCTCATTTTAACGGTGTATTTTTGTACATTCACCACGTCTGAAATGACGTCTTGCCGTAACTGTACACTCACCCTATCTTCAACTAAAATTTACTTGAAATTTACATACTTTATTTCTCTATTTACTTTAATAAAAAGTTACATCTTAACTAATCGTTACCGGGATAACATTTTTTTCAATTGTAGACCTTATCCTAGTAACCTTTATCATATTACTATCATACATCCTAGAGTTGAACTTAGACACGAAGGCTTCCGTACATTATACAAAATTATGTGCGCCTATGTACTTTTTAAATACTTTCGTTAAAGCAATAAGAGAAGCGACATAATAAAATAGATATGACTTTTCGTAGATTGTAATACACATTCTGTGTGCATTTAAGCAAAAAGAACATGTTTTATGTTAGAGGGGAGACTCCTCTCAGAAAGATTATCATAAAAGAGGTGGTTTGTTTATTAACTCTTTTTTTATTATCTGAAGTCCTAGACTACCCTAATTTGAAAATTTCAAGTATTTACTCTTGTTGTTATGAAAAGCTTTTTTTTAAATTCACTAATTATTGTTTATAGTCACTATAGTATTACTGTCTCCCTTTTGAAAATGTCATGTCATCGTTTCTAAGAAGAGGCTTTAATATTTATATTTATTATTCGTTCTTAAAGCTATAATAGATATACCTACATGCTAACTCTAAAATCGTTTGTTACAGTAAAAGTGATATTTAGTTAAAAACGGTAATTAAAAAATGTATTTGGTCTAGTTACACTTACATAATAGGTATGACAGTCAGTATATTTAAACAAAATTTCTATTTAGAGCATGTGGAGCATCTAGGTTGTTAATTATTTTTATGAATGGAGAAGAGGGCGGCCACGACGACGCACGGCGCGGGCGCATTGGAACGCGGACGAGAACTGTAGCTCGCGCCACTCGCCATACGCTTTCCCGACTTTCCAGTCGTCTCGGACCACTACGACGAACGTGATATACAAACTAATGTTATTAGGTACTTTATTAATGCTCACAGATTTTTTGGGCAACCGCTCATAATTTTTCTAATACACAAATATTTACATCAGCCGCAATGACGGAAACTGCTTGTTCATGTCAAATGATAACATAAAAATACATACTTTTATTAAGATGAACAAACAAGACTTTAATAACGAAATGACTGTGTCGGTAGTTGACGAAAAATTGTAAAACGTTGTGATTAATTAACCATGTCTATAGAAATAAATAAAATTGAAGTATCTGTTTGTAATGTCAAAATAATAGGGTTTTTCATGCTCACACACATACCAATGCCAGAAACCAGTTAAATAATTTTCAAAACGGTGGGTCGGTTTTGATAATATTTATTACCCGGTAGCTGGCTATATAAGGAGTAACTTAGGCTATTTTTCCTCTCAGAAAACCCCTACAAAATTTTGCCCGGTCCGGGAATTGAACCCACCACTAAGGCAGCGTTTTTTAAATTCCACGCGAACGAAATCGCGGGTACCAAGTTAGCCAGCTAGCTAGTTTAGAATACGATAGGATCTTGAAATGTCAATGAAAGTAAAAAGCAACCAATGATTGGTTATTATACATTTTTGATATTCAACGGAGTCCATCTAAGTAAATTGATGCATAGTTTTCTCATACTTTTAATATGTATTCATAAATTAAAGTGTATTCATAGTATTAATAGAATGTTGATAACAAAATATCATTACATGTACATTAAAGCTTTTGAATGCTGCAGTCTTTCAACGAATTAAAATAAATCAACGAGTAGTAAAGTAGAATTAAAGATGTGTGCAAAATGCGTGCAACGGCAACCAAGCACACGGCAGCAAGGACATCTCAGGACAAGTCACTCGTCCTCTATCGTCATGCGCAGGTAGCGACCAGAGGACGACAAGCCCATTGTTTATCGTTGCTAATTATTATGCCCCAACGCAGACGCTTGTCGACCGCTTGAACGCGCCGAGCCGCTGCGCAAAAACTCAGATACAAATAATGTACCTGTGAATAACTCGAAATCGAAACATTAACTTTTTTGTGAATTTCACACAAATACTTTATACAATTTATTTAATTTATATTATGGGTCATGTTTAACAACAAGATTTCAAGCGCTCTACTTTAATCATTGAAATGCATTGACGACAGAACATTACTACTATCGCACTGGCAGTATCGCGCTCGATTGAGGACCGTTACCTACGTGAAAACGTAGAACGCGCGGGGTGGGGCATAGAGCCGATACGGTGACGATGGCGCCCGAACACGGCCGATCGCCGAGTGCCGAGACGACGACTTACGTGCGGGGGACGCGGGGGTGCGCCACTTATCGCAGCGAGCTGGCAACGTCGCGCGGGGTGGGAGCGCCCCGCACCGCAACCTCTCACTCACCGTCGCCGGCTCGCCATCGCCATCATCCAGTGTTACCTTTGACGGTCGAATGCGCGGTTGTTCGCCGTCGCTGCCAGTGACGTTGGTGTCGACACTCGTGCAACACGTCTATGATGTTTCGGTGACTTCAAAGTCGGACTCGTGTGTGAACGATAATTTATTGGCTATCGTATGCTGGAACACAGTGATAAGTTTTGATCTCATTACACCCTGGATTTGGATTTTAATGTGCTCGTGACATTTTGGATTTTTCAACAAACTAAGTGCAGTGTACCACCAAAAAAGGATTTCTTCTAAGTGACAACCTGGATTATGAATAAAAAATTCCTGAAGTGAATATAAGATTTGTGTTACGTGAAAGTGGCATTCAAGTAATTAAAAGTGCTTTTATAAAGTTTTTGTTCTGGTTTTACTAGTTTCTACATGGTTTGCAAAAAAAATTTGAGCCAACAACTGTAACAACTTAATTTAAATTTATCAAATGAGTAATCAATAAAATAAAGATCTAAGAAAAACAGTAAAGCCAGAACACACCACCTGTCGTAAAATTTACACGCTGGATTTTGCCTCAGCTGATCAGAAGACGGAATGATTTGCGAAGCGTTTATCGTGCACAAAATGAATGCTGTGTATAAAATCTGCATTTTAATGAAAAACCTATACGAGGATCGTTCTAATCGTGATACACAAAATTTAGTGACACCTAAATAAAAACTGAACAAAAAATAAAACAATAATTTAATCACGTACGAGAAAATTCAGACAAGACTAAAGTGCATAATAGATGATGACGATGAAATATCACAAAGGTAAACGATGAACGTTTCGCCGATTGTTGACGTTCGATGAAAGGCTGGAGCGAAATTTACGCGCGATAACAGAAAATACGACCGTACGCTCGCGACTGACACGACGACAATATTGAAGAAAAAATGTTAAAGTTAAAGTGAAGGATTTTTTTGAGACGTTCATGTTTTGGAGAAGATGTCAGTTACGAGTAGACGTCGAGATTTTTGAACAACAACAAACCAGATGCATCGTGTTTCAGGGGGTGCCTTGTGACGACAGGACGGCGAATTCTAGTAGTACGGCCGGGTACGCGGGAACTGCCATCACCTACACGGGAGCACAAGCTCCCGATAGTGGCAAACCAAACCTATTACAAGGGACCATTGGATACAGAGTCAACGCTCCTAGGTGAGTAAAAAATATTTGTTTACAATAAATTTCATGGTGATTAAACATTTGTTAAATGTCGCATTCCGTGTAAGAACAATTATTATACTATAACTTTAATTGTTTAGGGAAATAAAATTTAAGACTACGTCATGCTAAGTTTATAAAAACAAAACATGAAAACAAAAAAAATAACTAAACTCTTAGAACGGTTAAATTATAATTAAAAATGATAGGGAATATTATGTGTTTATCAATTACAAAAACTCGACACTGCGTTGACTGCCTTTACTGTTTTTATCTTATCCGGAACAAGTTTGTTTACATTTCAACAAAACGCTGAAACGTGACTCGGCTTACCTATGCCACCTTATCGTAGTTAACAAGCAATAAAATCAAAATACACCATCTACGTAAATACATATCTTAAAATACCTTACGATTTCATGAATTGGTCACAATTATTACTTAACCTTAAATAAAAACATTTTAGTTTCACTAAAATATAAATAACCTTTAAGTATCGCCGAATAAACGCAGAATAACTCAAAAGAATAACTAGTGTGCCATTGTCGACTGCGCATCGCTGCAATTATAAATGAAATGTGCTCTTCCATTCACACGCACAAACGCTTTAGGGCACCCAGCACTCACACAGTTGTACCTCATCGCACTCACACAATCACAAACGCTAGCACACATTTACCAAACTCACACAAGCGCGCAATGGGAATGCACGCGGTGACTGCACTTTAGCGCTTACAATAAACATAAATAAACAAAACATTAAACTAGCAACACAACTTAGAAGAGCATCGAACAGTTAACATTCATTTATTTTTCCTGTGTTCACTTTCTATGTTACATGTTTTTCTATGTCTATATATTCAATATTATGAGAGATTGTTAACCGTTACTGAATGATTATTAACTTAAATACAATTTTATAAATAAAAAAGCGGCAGGCAGGTGCTAAGTCGAAGAGCTCAACGGCTTTGTTTAGTAGTCACCTTTACAAGCGACATATTGTTGATGGCTTCCCGCCTCTATACAAAACCAATAAGTAAATAATAATAAAATGGGGACCGGTAACGAGATTGTGTGAACAGAACACAGGAAGTCTACTTAACTTCAAGGGTAGCAGTTAGGGCTTCAAACCGGACTAAAGAAATTATTAATAGTTTTAATAGATATTATATCGTGATTGACAATTAAATTAATGCAAATATTTTCGTTTTCTGATCGTTACAAAAAATATTTATACAAATCGTGGGATAAACTGCAACGAACAAGATTGCTGGGGGCGGATGCACTGAAAAGCGCCAAGTGCTAAATAGATGTAAAATAAATATAAACTTTAGATGGTTTTAAGCATATAATTTAATTTTAATTGTTCTTATTTACACTAATATCGACTATTATGCACGTAATTAATTTATGAAAATCTATCGGTTTCACAGTGATTCTATACGATTCAACACTATCGCAGCCAAATAAATTATTATCACGAGCGTCATCGTAATAAAGCCCCATATTGACGTGACCGGCCCCACTTACCCTAAGCGGGCGACAAGCCGACCCTTCCCCGCTCATTGTACCGTATTTACCCCGGAACGGTCGGCTTCATTTGTAAACCTCGAATCCACTTCTTGAAGTATGATTCATTCTCCGAACCCCAACGTCAATTGACGGGAATGAGATAGATACGTTATATCTAATTTAGTGAACAATAGCTACGCGATTATATAGGTATTGACTTAGACAAACACATCCACTTTTTAATTTACCTCAAAATGAACTTATAAAATTTCTAAAATCCATAATCAATCAATCTTTTTCTTCATATTTTCTACACATGTAAATAATAATCATTTACATATAAATTTAAATGTCACAAGAAAAACGGCTTGATTATTGATTTAAAATAAACGTATCGCAATGCTTGAGACGAGCGAGCCACATCGATCTATTATTAATATTAACATTAACGCCTTTGTATTATCGCTGTGTGCGCACAAGCCACAATGTGAAGTGCCATTTAAATAGGGGTGACCAACTGTCGTTGAAATACAGGGGCGGAACCTACCACGGCTTCACGCTACCGCGATAGTAATCTATAGGAGTCTCACAATTAATGCTTTATTTAACACTTCATACAGTTCTTTTATAGTTGAGAAAAGATTTCTTCAAGTCAGGTGAGAAATGGTATTAATATTAAAATAACATGAAACACAAGTTTTATTTTTATTTTATGTTATTTTTATAATAATACCATATTAATCACCTGCCCGCAACACATTATACTGCAGGGAATCTATATTTTCTGAGTAGTTGCCCGACTATTAAGCGGTTGAATTCAATACACGATTATCTCCACTGCCAATTAACTAGGAATCCGACACGTCTGCGCACTAATCTAAAATTAACTGCAGCCAATGTATCAAAATACCCACGCGTTACTCGCACATCTCTCAATACTATGCCAAACACCTTCCAGCTTCTCGAAATAGCGGCTTACCTACTCATTCATATTGATTTATTTAGAAGTTTCATATTCTGTCGAAGAGCGGGTGTGTACACGAATAGAATTTGTCTTAGCATCTGTACAAAGATCAAATCTACCACAACTCTGTAGACAGCCGCTAAGTCTCAACAGTTTTTTTTTACTAAAGTTAAGTCCTTTATAAACTTGTCTTCTGAGAATTTTCCTATAGAAATGCCAGGCGATCGCTCGCATTCAACATTCCAAATATTTTGAAGAGTCCGTAAGTGATTATTCGGATGTGGTACCACTTTTACAAAAAATGCACCAGGATACAGAACACTTTTTTTTGTTGGGTACACATTTTGGTCGGCAAAAAGAAAAAAGGCCAGACAAAACTATAAAAAGAAGTGCAGGTCGGCCCGGGTTTACCTAAGGAAGGACCCTTGTAAATCATCTTCAGATCGGATGAATAAAGGCGATGTCGAGATGAGCGTTGTTGACTCGTATGTTTATAGGTTGTCGATGCTACTAAGTGTCTATTAACCTATTTATGAGAATGCTTAAGTAAGAACAGCACTCTGCTAAAATTTATTAACACATCCATGATAATTGTATTGAAATAACTAATTATAATAATTGTAACAACATTAAACGGGTATATGGTTAGTACGTGTAATTTAAAAGAACTGATTATAAAATATCCATCTCATTGGGCACTGATTTCAGTACGTAGACATCTTTGTTTACGTCTGTATACCATATGGACACACATGCTCAAGTAAATTCATTAAAATAATTTCATACACGCATAATACAAAGACCCAATATTGTTACACCACTACAGATGCTCACAACAATGGGTAGACCGTGCGAGTGTTTGTCGTGCATTTGTCGAATGGGAATTATTAGAAAGGGCTCCGGGAAGGCTCGGGAATTCGCCCCAAAAGCAGTTCACATGAATCGTTCTCCCACTCCGGCGCCGTACAAAAAATCACACATCCCGAGAGAAACACAGGGGTAACAACGCGTCACTATTCGTCTGTATTGATTTTTTCTCATTGTTAGTAAAATAATAAAATTATTTATTTAAAAAAGATCTTGCGTCGATGGAATTTGGGTTGAAAATTGAGTCTTAGTTTATTAATAATCGAAGCGTTAACGTGTGGAATGTTCGATTCTGCAAGGCCGCTTGCAATAGAAACTACTCGTATCGTGAGTGAAATAATATTAACTGGACCGATTTCACATTTGATATGTACATATATACCTAAAGTTACCTATAAGAAATAATTACTTTTGCTAAAGTGCCCAAATATCGATTTCAATAACAGATTAACGTCATTCGCAATGTTTATCAATCTTGTTTTTGGAATTTGATTGATATTTAGATAATGGGAATTCATGAATTATGTGTTATATTTATATTATTATAGCGGCTATGGATGCGCCGGCGGTTCGGGCGCGATGAGCGGCGGGGGCGAGAACGCGCAGTTCGGCGCCACCGCCGCGATGGTAGCCGCGGCCACCACGGCCGCGATGCAGGACTCGCAGCCATTCTCGCAGGTAATTAAATAATGACCACACATTATCAAATTTCGTGTTACATGTATGTATAACATTAAACAAGCATCCTTAAATCTCCTAAATAACAAACATTACAAAAAATAATACGCATACTGTTTTCGAATTGTAATCATCTAACAAAGTATTTATTATCTTAAAAAACAATACTAAAAATTTACCAAAGGCTTCTTAACTGGCATCACATAATTGCTCTTCTGAAAAAGCGAAATTCAGCTCCTACAAAACTATGACTACTAAACTTATATAACAAGTTAATTGACTTGTCAACTCCCGGTGAAATGTGAAGGTAGTCACGTACACAAACACTATATAGTTCGTTGTCATTTTGCAGATGCAAAACAACATGACTATGGGTAATCCTCAATACGGTGCGATGAACGGCTACGGTCAACAACGCAGTCATAACCCAGCTATGACTGGAATGGGGATGGGAGGCAACGGCGGCATGAATGGCATGACGGGAATGGGGCAAATGGGTAACGCCGCCATGAATGGAATGAATCCAATGGCGCAAATGGCCAATATGGGCATGCATGCTAATATGATGACCTCACAGATGGGGCCAGGGCAGATGGGAAACTCGGCTAAGATGGCTCCGGGTTACCAAAGGCGACACACGCCTTACCCGTCTGGTACCATGCTAATGGGGCAGCGAAAGTCAGCACAATATAGCACGATGGGTACCCAACCTGGTTTTGGCCCAAGTCAATATCCGGCGGGTTATGGGGGCCGACCGGGCTTCCAAGGCCCTGGATACCCACCCCAGCAACCTTTAGGTCCAAGCAGTAATTTCGGCGCCGCAATGAGGGGAAACATGAGGCAATCAACACCACCTTACTCAAACCAGGCACAATATTTCAATGGTGGCGTACCAAACCAGTTCTCGCAGCATCAAACCAGTAATGCGCAGTACGGAGCACAATATGGTGGACAGTTTGCGCAAGAAGTCGCAATGCGCACAAATATGAGCTACCAACACAGTCCAGTGCCCGGTAATCCTACGCCGCCTTTGACACCCGCCAGCAGTATGCCTCCTTATATCAGTCCAAATGGCGATGTCAAACCCCACTTTAATGAACTAAAACCACCGATGGGCATGCAAAGTAAGTAGATTTTGTTCAAATTATTGATTACAATCTTTTATCAATCAATTCACTGTCCCTAGAGAATAGTATTTTTGAAACAGGAGGAAAGGTATCCAATGCCCCTAACAGCGTTTGGTGTATAATAAAAAAAACAATCACATTTCTTTTATACAAATGCTTTAAAACTATTCTTAAACATTGTTTCTTTTTTCAGATGACGAACTTCGGTTAACATTCCCCGTAAGAGATGGTATTATACTACCACCGTTTAGATTAGAACATAATTTAGCAGTTAGTAACCACGTGTTTCAATTGAAATCTACGGTCCATTCAACATTAATATGGAGGTATATATGCTTTATAATTGTTGTATAATATAAAATGAAAATACTTGTGTATGAAATGGAGTAGAAAATGAGATGGGCATTTCCTTTACAGGTCGGACCTCGAGTTACAATTAAAATGCTTCCACCACGAGGATAGGCAAATGAACACTAATTGGCCAGCGAGTGTTCAGGTATCAGTCAATGCGACGCCCTTAATGATAGACAGAGGAGAGAATAAAACATCACATAAACCATTGTACCTGAAAGATGTATGTCAACCAGGCAGAAACACGATTCAGATAACCGTGTCAGCCTGCTGTTGTGTAAGTATTATAAAACACCTAAAATTATTACCTACAAAATTATCCTAACCACAAACATCAAACTTACAATAACTACTAGAATTAAGAAGTAACAGTTCGTTTTTGTTTCAGTCACATCTGTTTGTATTGCAATTAGTTCACCGACCAAGCGTACGAAGTGTTCTGCAGGGTCTTTTAAGAAAACGACTATTAACTGCCGACCATTGCATTGCAAAGATAAAGATGAATTTTAACCAAACGCCGTCTAATGGTAGCAATGGCTCAAACACAGCGAACGACAGGGACAGTGTTGAACAAACAGCTTTAAAAGTTTCGTTAAAATGTCCTATCACGTTTAAGAAAATCACGTTACCGGCTCGTGGACATGAATGCAAACACATACAATGTTTCGATCTGGAATCATATTTACAACTCAATTGTGAACGAGGCTCGTGGAGGTGTCCAGTTTGCAAGTAAGTAGACACTAGATAAACTAGACTGCATTTTTGAATTTGCATTCTAGTCTCAGTCCAATATCTAAAATATTTTTTTTTTTTATTTTAGCAAACCAGCTCAGTTGGAAGGATTAGAAGTAGATCAATACATGTGGGGAATTCTTAATACACTTAACAGTTCAGACGTAGATGAAGTGACTATTGACAGCGGAGCTAACTGGAAAGCAAGCAAAACTTCTAACAGTACTGGTATTAAGGTAAGTATTTATCGTACTATGGGTCCATCTAAAACATTAACGTAGCATTCAAACATAATGTATTTATAATGGCCACTAAGGCCGTTTATAGATGGTTAGCCTGTCAAAGCTAAGACTTAAAAATCAAAAATAGTTTTGTATTAATGATTGAATAAATATTGGGGTGGTTTTATATATTGTATGATGTCGTTTAAGAAAACCAAGGATAGTCTTGAAGTTAACAGCGTTTTTTTTTTAATTCACAGCAAGAGGATGACAGCAGTGATAATAGTGTGGGAAAACGAAGCAAAGCAGTATCACCCGGTTCCATGAACATGCCTACAATGAACAACTGGGATATGAACCAAGCCTTATCACCGTACCTTCCACCTGACATGAACTCTATTGCTAGTGGTTCCATGATCTCGTCTTATAATCAAAATGGTCAGAATCGCAATTCAAGTTCGAATAACCAAAATTACGACTTTGGCATGAGCAACGGTCCAGGCAGCAACGAGTATGCCGGAAATGGGCCACTATCACATTTAAACGAAAGTGTGAACTCTTTAGATCCGCTCAATGCGATGGAAAAAAGTCTAAACGAGCAGGTAAGAAATACTTAAGATATTGTGAGTTGTTTTACATGAACAATGTATTCCATTCCAATCTCCGATTTCGTTAATGCCGACCTTGTATTGAATATAGCAAAAATAGAAGAGCTAGCTAGCTATAAAGAATTTCGCTCTGATTACAAGCTACTTATTTCTATTAAATATAATATTGTCCTTATTTTTCTAGATGCCGCATACGCCCCACACACCCCACACACCGGGCTCGGCTCACACGCCGGGCGGTGGTGGCGCTCACACCCCTGGTTCCTCACATACGCCAGGACCACCATCTGTTGATCACCACTCGTTAACAGACGTCGACATACCTGCCGACCTTAACTTCGATCCTGCCGCTGTCATCGATGGAGAAGGGACTGATAATCTCAACGTAAGTATTGAAAGCATCTACACTCAGATATTAGATAAGCATTTAAAATGCAACAACATTAAAACGGAATATGAGTAACTTGTAATGCTCAAAAAGTTATGAAGTCACAGACTATATTTAAAAATATTATTACGTTCAACGAATTGCCTTAACAAAAGCTAAACCTTGTTTATTTCGATTTCAGTTATTGCCGGAGACGAGTGTAGATCCAATGGAGCTGCTGTCGTACTTAGACGCGCCGGCGCTGGGAGAACTGCTTGCTACGCCGCCTTCATCGTCTTCGTCTGCAGGCAGCCACCCGCCGCGAGCGCCTTCCTCCGACGATTTATTGGCGCTGTTTGAGTAAGATTTACAACTCGTGTTTCAGACTTACGAGACGGCATGGTGAAATTGTGCGTAGACCAGTATTTTAGCAAATATCTACCGATAAGACGAAAGGTTGCTTCAATTGCATCATTTTATAAACTGAAATTTGAATAACATCGGCTTTCTACGCATTTCACTAATATCACTTGCTTGTCTCAAGTCAGAGTAAGCGATTGTTTAACTCACACTCAGCCAGCGGAGCCCGATATTGTGATATTAGATTTTAGTTCCTTCTCCATTTATCGTTGTGTTGAACATTTGGGGTTTTCGAATAGTAGTTGCTACCAGAATCTCTATCACCTTGTAAAGGCGTTATCTAGTAGAAGTTCGATCTAACCGTCTTGTTAAACACAACGATACACCTAGACATCAATTGTTAAAGCAATGGTGTTGGAGAATATTTATTAGATATATAAGTAAAGTAATGGAGGCGAATGGCCATAGACACTGCGGTGTTGTGCATGTATAGTTCCTCGCACCGCCGCACAAACGGTGGCGCTACTGAGCTCCTTTATATTCTAAACTCTAGCATAAACTTTAACACAAATTTTCATTAATAATTCAAGTTCTTATTCGATATAACTATAATCGATTAGAGTTTTTAATTTGTGTCCATAATTTGTGAATAGTTCACCAGGTGTAAATAATAAAGAGGAGTTATTTTATTTGTGCTAGTTGTTTTGTGTACTGTGGCGGGAGGGGCGGCTCCGTGTACGTATAGCGCTAATGCGAGGCGCCTGCCCGCGCGGGGGCATTGTGAATCTTATAGTTCCTATTCGATGCGAGCGAACTATAATGTTCAATTGCCATTTACTGTAAACATATTCCTTCAAGTTTTCGCATATTCTGCATTTTTAAATGGTAAGATATGATAGGATTCGTGAGTATAACGCTACTCGCTTTTGGGTGATATATTCTAAATGAGTTGTTTGAAATCAACAAATAAATGGTAACAAATTAGTTACAAAGCTATACATAGTTTGTAAATGTGAGTGCAAAAATGAACTCTGTTAAATTATTTTGCGTTATGTGAATCGAAGAATGATAGAAATATATTTTAATTTCTATATATAGTAATGAACTGTATTATTTGTAAATATAAATTTAGATAAGAATATTATATGACCTAGTTATATATAGGAGAAGAACATGGCAGATACTTATATGACGGCCAGTTTAGTATAGTATTACTAAATTAAAGAAAATCTACACATGGTTTTACATGTACATACAAAATTACCATACCTATTATACATGTCTTTGCATTTGGAGGCAGTACAGTACTATATCAACACATAGTTTATTTATTTATTTTTAAATTCAATCTATTGCTTAACCCAACTTATGTCTACCAAATGTTCTGATCTTCCTTCTAGGTAACAATGAGCTAGTCCTTTAGTATTGTGTTGATTTGGTTTAGATAATGTTCCTTTGACTAGAGTTGGAGTATAATACTACATGTATGTGTGTTGTTCTTATTTCAATAATCTGGTTTATAACTATGAATTACGGGGAATGCCAAATTCTCTTTACATTCTTATTTCATTTAGTTGATTGTACTGTATGTTTTCAAATGTTCCTTTATTGACAAGTGCAAACCGCCAATATTAAATAATTGCTAAAGTCTTAAGTACATGCTCATCTTAGTTTTATTCCACTCTTTTACCCACCTCAGTAACAAAAAAGCAATTGCAATAATGGAGTGCTTATGGCAGTAAATTAATTTATAACAGATGAAAAAGTATTAATACAATAAATAGGAATAAAAGTTGTGATGAGCATAAATTTGACAAAATCTTATTTCACATATTTTCAAATGTTTGATTTCGCTTTAGATTTATTTATTTTTGCGCAGATTTATTTAATTTGTACTATTATGATTTACTACATTCATAAACCTATTTAGATTAAAACGCAGCGCAAATTGTCAAAAGCCGTGGTTTCTAAATGGAATTAAGTTCCCATAAAATTAAATTAGCCATCCATTATTCATTTAGATGTTGTAGAATTTTCAAACATATTGTTAATGACATTTTAAATAACAGTTAATAAAAATATCTCTTACTTAGAGTTATATATGGAAACCGTCGATTCTTTCAATATTTTATGTAAAATTGATGATTTGCGCATCTTTACTTCATGCTATGAATATGGACGCCTCTTTAGAGTTAGTCAAACTATTACGAAAAACAATAAAATTAGTATTATATAAAGCCGTGGTCAATTATTCAAACCAATGGCGATTCAAGCCAGCCGTGGTCAATAATGTTTGTTTAGGAGTCATTGTCAATTTTATGTTATCGTGCTGTATTAAGCGCGTTGTCCACATCAGGCGGTGGTCTGTTTAGTTGATCACAGCTTTAGCATAAATTACATAATTTTAAGGGACCTTCAATTCCAGTTAGCTAGTTCTAATTATTGTAGTGAATATTGCTGTTGGATGAATCACCACAACGATTTATATATGACCAAATAGTAATTTTTACACATTTAACCGTTTAAGGTAACTTAAAAATAACAAATTTGTTAATATAAAATTGAAAATATCACAAAAAATGTTTAGCATATCACATTATTTAAAAACCATAAATCGGATTGTATGATTCATCCAAATAAGTAAATTATTACAATATTATATATTTTGTTAAATATCATAATGAACTCTGCTGTGAAGTAGACTTTGTGCTCGTACAAATATAAGCAGCATTTGGAAATAAGTGAAAAAAGAATTCTAAATAAGGTATACCTAATGCGACCCATGACTCAGAAGTTAATACAAAGCCAAACTGTACTGTAGCATATTTAAAATTTTGAATATTATGTGAACATTTTAGCAATCTGGTTGGTATCCACTGAATTCATTTCAAAATGTGTAAAATGAAGAAAAAACATAACATTTTTATGTTATTGAAAATAAAATAAATCTAAAAATTATCTGTGACTTTCATTTGAGCCTGCAAGTTTAACTTGATCACATGTCTTCATTCTTTGCGCATGACTATGTTCAGACCTTTATTATTTGACAAGTCATAAAGCCTACATTATATATGATCCTTTGTTGATCCTTCACTTTTTCTACCCGTAACATAATAATCTTAGAAAAAATAAAATAATCTTTGAAAATAAACTATACATATTTAAATTCTTGTCATTATGTCATTTGTCTCAAGCTTTAAGGAGAAGAATGCCCTTCCAGTGTATACAAAATTTCATATCAATAGGTTTGGTTTCATATCAATAGGTTTTTTAATCTTGTTAGAGATAATCTGGAGAGGTTGAACTTGCCCGCATACACACGTGCTTATAGAATTATAAATAAGCATGGAGTAGGTATCTTATCCTTGTCATCTATTTGGGGGCACACCAGTGCCCCCGCCAAGATGAGCCAGCGAAGCGCAAAGGCACTACCTACCTTTTCCCGAGGCACTTCATCGTTTTATTTAACCCTCATAACTTTGGTTTGGATTATACCAGATATACCAAAATCTCGGGATGAGACTGGTCTCTCCCTCACGACGACAACTGTTGCTCCTGTACACCAGGATTACAGCATTGGCCCACGAACTTCTAAACGAATTCCTAACTTACCGTGAAATAAAGTGGGCTCAAATATTTTTGAATATAAGACTAAGTATTTTTTGATTATCGTAGATTATTATTCCAATAATACTGAAGTCTGCAAATTGAATTCTATTTCATCGAATATAGTCATTGAAAGTATGAAGGAGGTGTTTTCTCGCCATGGGGTCCCAAATATCCTGATAAGCGACAATGGACCACAATATAGTCGCGAGTTCAAGCGTTTTTCAGAGCAATGGGGGTTTAATCACGTGACATCATCACCTAATTATGCTCAGGCAAATGAGAAAAGCGAAAGAGCAGTACAAACAATCAAATGTTAACCTGATGAAAATGTTTATCAGGATAGTTGTAATGAGGGATGTGATCATGACCAATTCAGTGATGCGTGTGAGGATGCTGATTTAAAAGATAATGGAGGCAAATCACAATCTGACGAAGGTCCTTTTGAAACTTCTATGAATCCTGCACCCTTGCCGCACCACCAGCTCGCAAAGCTAAAGAGGTTGCTCGGCAACGCATTGCTAACAAATTAATTTAAGCTAAAATATATGTCTTTGTTTGTTTTATGTTACAATATATAAATTTGTTTTGAATAACTGTTTGTATAACCGTAACCATTATCAATCTTGTATGTCATGTCTAAAAATGTTAATTAGTTAACCTTTTTTATTTTATGGGGAAGATGTTGTAATATAATATTGTTGTGAGGGTAGGTATAAGTTATTATACAATAAACCAGTTGTTGTCCAGCACTCGGTCACGGTACTATTATAATACAGTACTCCAACTTCATACAAACGGACGAAACGCGAGCTATACCTACGCGCCTCGATCTCGGGGTGCGCTCGGGGCGCAGACAGTCACGGCTGTACCGCAGTGTCGAACGGACTGTGTGTTGTTTTTTTAACAATAACCATTTTCTCTAAAAATCAGTTAATATGACGAGTAGGAAATATTGTGCTGTTTTTGGTTGTATGAATTCGTCAATAACGCATCCAGACATAAGTTTCTTTAAATTACCTGGAAACTCTGAAAGGTAAGACTATAAAATAATTTTACTTACTAGTAGGTAGGTACATAATGTGTGTCTTTTTAATGGATAAGTATTTCCTTTTATCTCACGAAAAAAAAGGTGTTTGGATTAATAAAGCGAATAGAGTAACGGAAAGTTATTGAGACGAGTGAAATAGGTAGTTATATGCGGTTCTGAATGAATCATGATACGGTAGGTACCTACCTACTTACGCTTGTGTTAAAACTTCGGTGCATGTGTGTTTTGTTACTTTGCATAATTCAAAGTAAAGACGTGGTATTTTATTATTAATAATAATTGTTTATTATCTGTGTGTATGAATAATACAAAAAAAAATTTTTACCGTCTGTGTCATTAGACAGTTT